TCCCATCCTCTCCTCATCCACCCGTCCTTCCTCCCACTCTCCCTATCCCCTTCTCTCCCTCTCCCTTTCTCTCCCTCTCCCTCTCCCCTTCTCCATCCTCCTGTCTCCTTCTCTGCTTCTCTCCCTCTCTTCCTCTCCATCCTCCTCTCTCCCTCTCCCCTTCTCCATCCTCCTCTCTCCCTCTCCCCCTCTCTTCCTCTCCATCCCCTTCTCTCCCTCTCCTTCTCTCCACCCTCCTCTCTCCCTCTCCCCTTCTCCATCCTCTCCCCCTCTCCCTCTCCCTTTCTCTCCTCTCCCTCTCCATCTTCGAATACACACCATGGTTATTTGTGATGTTGATTCTCGCACCGGCGTTCAACAGGTCCTCAATAATAACATGGTTTCCGTTGAAGGCAGCCCAGGCCAGAGCAGAATTTCCTGGTATGAAGAGAAGAAGAAAAAAGACTATTTCCTGGTATGGAGAGGAGAAGAAAATGATAATTTCCTGGTATAGAGAGGAGAAAATGATAATTCATTGGTATGGAAAGAAGAAGAAGAAAATGATAATTTCCTGGTATGGAGAGGAGGAGAAAATGATAAATTCCTGGTATGGAGAGAAAGAGAAATATATAATTCATTGGTATGGTGAGAAGGAGAAAATGATAATTACGTAAATAAACAAAATGAATAATTGTTTCGTCGGTCCATCAGTTAAGAGGATTTAAACGATGAAAGACAGTAATTTGATGCATAAACAGATGAATAAATTAATTCAATAAGTCAAAGGATTAAAGGACAAACAAAGGAATTTGTGAATTTATAGCGATGTTGTTGTAAAAAAAGTGATAATTATCAAATTGAAATTAAAAATTATCATAGTTTGTTTCATTCCAGTTATAACAACGATGATATCAGCTGTGGAGATAAAGAATTACCATTTCAACTATGATAACTGATAATAATAAATAGCTATCGACAACATTTTATGATAATAACATCTAATAATAACTATAATACACATTTGATAATAAGTAATGAAAATAATAACTATAACCATAAGCAATGATAATAATAATAACTATAATCACGTAATGATAATAACAATAACTATAATTATAAGTAATGATAAGAAAATCTATAACAATAACCCAAGATAACAAAAACCAAAAAATGAAAAGCAATAATAATACCCACAGTAAAAAAAGAAAGAAAGAATAAGAAAAGAAGAAGAAGAAGAAAGAAGAAGAAGAAGAAGAAGAAGAAGAAAAAGAAGAAAGAAGAAGAAGAAAAAGAAGAAAAGAAGAAGAAAAAGAAGAAAGAAGAAGAAGAAAAAGAAGAAAGAAGAAAGAAGAAGAAAGAAGAAGGAAGAAGAAGGAAGAAGAAGAAGAAGAAGAAGAGAAGAAAAAGAAAAAGAACAAAAGAAAAAAGAAAAAGAAAAAGAAGAAGAACAAGAACAAGAACAAGAAGAAGAACAAGAACAAGAAAAAGAAATAGAACAAGAAATAGAACAAGAACAAGAACAAGGAAAATGAAAATGAAAAAGAAAAAGACAAAAAAAGAAAAAGAAAAAAGACGATAACCCCACAACGCAGTGATAACACAGAGATAAGATCCCTCGCCAAGAAAGGGCCTGTCCCACCGTCCTTATTCCGGTGGTCGACGTCGACTCCCTGGGCGAGCAGGACCTCCACCACTCGAGGGCGGCTTCCCTGGGCTGCCTGCACGAGGGGCGTGTTGCCTGCGGGGGGGATGACGTCACGGTGAGTCTTGGTTGATGTGGTGAAGAGTATCAGTGCAAGATGGAAGGTATAGCAACAATAACAGTGGCAGCAATAACAACAATAGTAATAGTAATAACAACAATAGTAATAGTAATAGTAATAACAACAATAAAGCAACAATTATTAGAATAATAACAATAACAACAACTACAGCAACAATAAAAACAACAATAATAACAGCAACAATTATTAGAATAATAACAATAACAATTACAACAACTACAGCAACAATAAAAACAACAATAACAGCAGCAATAACAAGAACAATAGTAGCATCAACAACAGCAACAACAATAACAACAACAATAATACCAACAGTAACATCAACAAAAATGACAAAGTATATAAGATTTACTGATAATTCTTATTCAGTTTGGAAAAAAAACATACCATAGTATTTTCTATAACTGAAACAGATCAGAAAAAAAACATTTTATCTGGTCATGTGCCAAGTATGTTACTTGTTTTACATCTATTATTAATATTCTATTATTATTATTATTATTATTATTATTATTATTATTATTATTATTATTATTATTATTATTATTATTATTATTATATCATCATTATTATTATATTATATATCATTATTATTATTATTATTATATTATTATTATATTATATTATTATATTATTATTATTATATTATCATGTAATATGGAAAAGGATAACGATAACGATAACAATGATAATAGTGATAAGAGCAACAAAGACACCAACGCCAAAAATAAAAACAACAGCAACAATAAAAACATAACAACAAAATCCACATCAACAAAGGTATCTACAACAGCAACATTCACAACAAAATAACAGCAAAACAACAATCGCAATAATACAACTTTTACAACAAAACAATGTTCACAACATCACTGACAACAAAAACGACAATGAAAACGTCACCACCTCCACCAACAACACCACAACCACAACCACTGCCTCCATCACAACCATCAACAACACCACAACCACCAAAAACACCACAACTACAACCACCACCACCACCACAACACCACCACCACCTCCATCACAACCACAACCACCACCTCCACCACCAACAACACCACAACCACAACCTCCATCGCAACCACCAACACAATAACCACAACCATTACCTCCATCACAACCACCACCTCCACCAACAACACCACAACAACAACCACCTCCACACCACAACAAGACCACCACCACCACAACCACAACCACCTCCCACCAACAACAACAACACAACAACCACCTCACCACCACCACAACACCAATACCACTTCCATCACAAACACCACAACACAACCAACACCACAAACACCACCACCACAACCACCAACACCACCATCACACCACAAAACCACCACAACCACCACCTCCATCGCCACCAACACCACAACCTCCACCCCCACCACAACCACAACCACAACCACCACCCTCACCACCAACAATACCACAGCCATCACCACCTCCATCACAACCACCAACAACACCTCCACCACCACCACCACAACCACCAACACCACAACCACAACCACACAAACCACAACAACACCTCCATCACAACCACCACAACCTCCACCACAACCACTAACACCACAACCACCAACAACACCTCCATCACAACCACCACCACCAAAGACAGCTTACCCGCCAGGTCAGTGACGTTGGGCGTGGTTCCTGCCTTCAGTAAATCTTGGACCATGAAGACGTTCCCCAAGAAGGCGGCCCAGTCGAGAGCCGTGTCTCTTGGTGGGGGAAGAAAGCATGTAGATAGATAGATAGATGATAGATAGGGATGGAAAGGGAGGTAGGGAGGGGGCGAGGGGGGAAGATGGAGGGAGAGAGAGGGAGAGGGAGAGAGAGAGAGAGGGAGGAGAGGGAGGGAGGGAGGGAGGGAGGGGGGGAGAGTGAGAGGGGGGGATAGAGAGAGAGAGAGAGAGAGAGAGAGAGAGAGAGAGAGAGAGAGAGAGAGAGAGAGAGAGAGAGAGAGAGAGAGAGAGAGAGAGATGAAAGATAGATAGATAAGTGAATAGAGAGATGAAAGATAGATAGGTAGAGGGAGATGGATAAAAGACAGATAAATAGATGGAGAGATAGATAGATCGAAGATAGACAGAGAAATAGATAGATAGATAGACAGATAGATGACGGACATATAGATAGATATACAGTTAGATAGATGACAGACAGACAGATAAAAGATAAATAGATAAATAGATAGATAGTTTCATTATATATTTTCTACCCCTTTATACTCACTTTTTGTTACTTTCTTGTGTTCATTTTGATTACTAAGCAATTAATGTTTTAATAATTCATAAATCCAATTATTGCTGTTAGTTTTTGAGTATTTACGGGATCCAAAATAATTTGTAACATTAAGTTTATCACATATCTATATTCAATGTAAAACCACTATATATCTAAAAATAATGATAATAATCATTCTCAGAAAATAGAATAACGTATTTTGAATTTGAATCAGACTTAGAAATAATCATTGTTGAGATAAGTGGTCAATAACGAGAATAAATTATAAAGCAAATCACAAAAAAAAAAAATAAAAAGAAAGAAAGAAAAAAAATGTAACAAAATAATTAACAGAGAAATAGAAGAATATTGAAACTTTTACGTTTCGAGTCAAACTGAACTCCTCTTCAGGTATGTATTGTGAATCCCTATTGCAGTATGGTCTTCAGCGTCAGCCAGTCATTTTCATTTTCATTTTCCACAGGGCAGTCGTTTTCAAGTCCACATCCTGTCATTTTTGTCTTGCACATAAAACATCAAGTCCACATCTAATCATTTTCACTCCCTTAGCAAGTTATTTTCGCTCTTCATTACCTGCTATTTTCACCTTTATATCAAATAATTTCTACCTCGACATCCAGTCGTCTTAATCTTCCACATACATCAATTTTACCTCCACATCTAATCATTATTAATCACGTATCGCATCACCACACCTTCAAATCCTCCACATCAGTCATTTCACAGCAGTCATTTCATAACCCACATAAAACATTTCTCAACTTCACGTCACGTCACTTCGCATCTCCACATTCAGTCACTTCACATTTCACATAAAACATTTCTCAACTTCACATCAAGTCACTTCACACCTCCACATCCACCCACATCCATTAATTTCATATCCCACATAAAACATTTCTCACCTCCACATCCATCCACACTTCACACCTCCACATCCAGTCATTTCACAACCCACCTAAACCATTTCTCACCTCCACATCAAGTCACTTCTCACCTCCTCATCCACCCACATCCAGTCACTTCACATCCCACCTAAACCACTTTCCATCTCCACATCCACCCTCATCCAGTCACTTCACATCCCACCTAAACCAATTTCCACCTCCACATCCACCCTCATCCAGTCACTTCACATCCCACCTAAACCACTTTCCACCTCCACATCCACCCACATCAGTCACTTCACATCCCACATCCACCTCCACATCCAGTCACTTCACATCCCACCTAAACCACTTTCCACCTCCACATCCAGTCACTTCACATCCCACCTAAACCACTTTCCACCTCCACATCCACCCACATCCAGTCACTTCACATCCCACCTAAACCACTTTCCACCTCCACATCCAGTCACTTCACATCCCACCTAAACCACTTTCCACCTCCACATCCAGTCACTTCACATCCCACCTAAACCACTTTACATCCACATCCAGTCACTTCACATCCCACCTAAACCACTTTCACTCCACATCCACCCACATCCAGTCACTTCACATCCACCTAAACCACTTTCACCTCCACATCCACCCACATCCAGTCACTTCACATCCCACCTAAACCACTTTCCACCTCCACATCCACCACATCCAGTCACTTCACATCCCACCTAAACCACTTTCCACCTCCACATCCACCCACATCCAGTCACTTCACATCCCACCTAAACCACTTTCACCTCCACCATCCACATCCAGTCACTTCACATCCCACCTAAACCACTTTCCACCTCCACATCCACCCACATCCAGTCACTTCACATCCCACCTAAACCACTTTCCACCTCCACTCCACCCACCACATCCCAGCTCCAGTCACTTCACATCCCACCTAAACCACTTTCTCACCTCCACATCCACCCATCCAGTCACTTCACATCCCACCTAAACCACTTTCCACCTACCAGTCACTTCACATCCACCTAAACCACTTTCCACCTCCACATCCACCACATCCAGTCACTTCACATCCCACCTAAACCACTTTCCACCTCCACATCCACCCACATCCAGTCACTTCACATCCCACCTAAACCACTCCACATCCACCCACATCCAGTCACTTCACATCCCACCTAAACCTTTCCACCTCCACATCCACCCACATCCAGTCACTTCACATCCCACCTAAACCACTTTCACCTCCACATCCACCCACATCCAGTCACTTCACATCCACCTAAACCACTTTCCACCTCCACATCCACCACATCCAGTCACTTCACATCCCACCTAAACCACTTTCCACCTCCACATCCACCACATCCAGTCACTTCACATCCCACCTAAACCACTTTCCACCTCCACACATCCAGTCACTTCACATCCACCTAAACCACTTTCCACCTCCACATCCACCCACATCCAGTCACTTCACATCCCACCTAAACCACACCTTCCAGTCCACCTAAACCACTTTCCACCTCCACATCCACCCACATCCAGTCACTTCACATCCCACCTAAACCACTTTCCACTCCACATCCACCCACATCCAGTCACTTCACATCCCACCTAAACCACTTTCTCCACCTCCACATCCACCCACATCCAGTCACTTCACATCCCACCTAAAACCACTTTCTCACCTCCACACACCCCAGTTCCACATCCCACCTAACCACTTTCTCACCTCCACATCCCCCACTCACCTTCACTCAATTCTGGATGTTGGGGTCAGCGCCGACCTCCAGAGGATGCCTGACGACCTCCGTGTGGTTCCGGTTGGCGGTCCAGATGAGAGCAGTCGTTCCTTGAGGGGAGAAGGGGAGGGGGAGGGTTAGAGAGGTGAGATGAGGGGAGAGGGGGAGGGAGGGAGGGAGAGGGAGAGGGAGAGGAGAGGAGAGGGAGGGGAGGGGAGAGGGAGGGAGGGAGGGAGGGAGGGAGGGAGGGAGGGAGGGAGGGAGGGAGGAGGGGAAGGGGGAGGAGGAGGAGAGTGTTAGAGAGAGAGGTGAGGTGAGGTGAGGTGAGGGAGGGGGGGAGGGGAGGGAGCGAGGGAAGGAGGGGAGAGGGAGAGGGAGAGGGAGAGGGGGAAGAGGTGAAGGGGAGGGAGGGAAGGAGGGAGGAGAAGGGGAGAGAGAGAGGGAGAGGGAGAGGGAGGGAGGGAGGAGGAGGGAGGGAGGGGAAGGAGAGCGAGCGAGCGAGCGAGCGAGCGAGCGAGAGAGAGAGAGAGAGGAAGAGAGAGAGAGAGAGAGAGAGAGAGAGAGAGAGAGAGAGAGAGAGAGAGAGAGAAGAGAGAGAGAGAGAGAAAATAAGAGAACGAGAGACAGCGAAAAATGACAAGAGATAATAAGAGAAAGATTGAAAAACAACGAGAGAAAATAAAGAGCTGACATCAACCGACCAGAAAGAACCAAAACAACTAAACAAAAAACAACAACAAAAAAAGAACACGCAAAAAAGAAAAAAAGAAAAAAGAAAAAAAGTAAAAAAAAAAGAAATATAAAAAGAAAAAGAAAAAGAAAGAAAAAAAAGAAAAAAAGAACATACAAAAAAGAAAGAAAAAGAAAAAAAGGAATATATCCATTCCTTCCAAATCCAAGCTTCACCCACCTTCATTATTCTTGTGGTTGACGGCAGCGCCTTGGCCGAGCAGAAACTTAACAACTTCTAAGTGGTTTTCCTTCGCTGCCTGAATCAGTGGTGTATTTCCTGATGATGAAGAAAAGAAAAGAAAAAAAAAGATTACTGCTGGACGAAAAGAAACAAGAACATGCGAGAGACAAAATTGATTGAAAAGAAAGGAAAAGAAAAAAAAAAAAAGATTTACCGCTGGACGAGAAGAAACAAGAACATATGCGAGAGACAAATTAACAAATTAAAAATAGAATTAATTGAAAAGAAAGGGAAAAAAAAAAGATTTATCACTGGACGAAAAGAAACAAGAACATGCGAGAGACAAAATTGATTGAAAAGAAAGGAAAAGAAAAAAAAAAAGATTTACCGCTGGACGAGAAGAAACAAGAACATGCGCGAGAGACAAATTAACAAATTAGAAATAGAATTAATTGAAAAGAAAGGAAAAAAAAAGATTTATCACTGGACAAGAAGACACAAGAGCACATGCGAGAGACAAATTAATAAATTAAAAATAAAATTAATTGAAAAGAAAGGAAAAAAAAAGATTTATCACTGGACGAGAAGAAACAAGAACACATGCGAGACACAAATTAACACTTGAGATGGTTAACTGAATGAATGTTTATTTTAAAACAAGCATTTAAATTTATCTAGAGTCGGGTGTATAACTCTAAGAATATAAACATATATGTCTATCTACCTGTTTATCTATCTACAATGTTTGTATCTATGTATATCTCTAAGCCTATAAACATACATTTCTATCTACCTGTTTGTCTATCTATCTATCTATATAACTAAAAATTCGAAGACCAAAAAGATATCTATCTATCTATATGAACCTATAAGTCGATCTACCTGTTTATCTATCTAAGATGTGTGTATTTAATATGTATGTATATGCTAAGCCTATAAACATATAATATTATATATATATATATATATATATATATATATATATATATATATATATATATATTATATATATATATATATATAACTGTTTATCCATCCATCTATCAATATAACAAAAATACGAAGACAAAAAAAAAGAAGAAAAAAAAAAAAGGTCTCACCGGCCTTGTTCGGGAGGTCGACCTTCGCGGCCTTCGCCAGCAGGTCCTGGGCGATGCCGAGGTTGCCGTGGAAGGCTGCCATGATCAGGGCAGAGTGTCCTGTAAAGAAGAAAAAGAATCCTGCTTAAAATGCTAATGGTATTTTTTAAATTTTCACTATTTTCACTTCCTATCCATTCACATATTCATTTATCCTTCTGTCTACCTGTGGAATGATGGTTTATGATGGATTAAAGTCAATATTCATTCACAAATCCTGTTTAAAATGCTGAGTATTTTTAAAAATTTCACCTTTTTAACTTCCTATTCATTCACATATTCATCTATCCCTCTCTCTACCTGTTTATGATGGCTTAGAGTCAATATCTATTCTAAAATCCTGTTTAAAAGGCTAAGAGTATTTTGGAAATATTTTTTTTCGAAACAGTAATATGATGGCTTGAAGTCAGTATCTGTTAAATCTAATTAGGGAAATCCATAAGTGAATTTTAGTTTTTGAATATTTGAATACTTTTTATATCTTTGAAGACAAAAACTCTTCGCATCTTGCATTTTTTTAAATGATAATAATAATAATAAAAACATATACCATCCATCACTCAATCCAACCGAAATCCTCACACACTAAATAAAAACAAAAACAAACAAACACAAACAGACCCCAAATTAACCAATTTCAACTAAAAAAAGAAACAAACCGAATTTCCGCGTCTGTCTGTTCCAAAAAACAGCAAAACAATAAAAAAAACGAATTTCTGCGTCTGTCTCTTCGCAAAAAACAGCAAAACAATAACAAAAAACAAAAAAACAAACCGAATTTCCGAGTCTGTCTGTTCGCATCCGCCTGGTAGTCGAGCAGGACCTTGACAATGTCCCCGTGGTTCTTGCGTGCCGCCGGGATGAGGGGGGTGGACCTGGGGGAGGGGGGAGGGGGGAGGTTCTGTTAGTATCGATGTTCAATTATCTGTTGTCGGAGAGTAGATAGAGTAAAAGATAGAAAGGTGAGAAGAAAGATGAATAAATATGTATATATATATATGTGAACGTACACACACACACACACACACACACACAAACACACACACACACACACACACACACACACACACACACACACACACACACACACACACACACACACACACACACACACACACACACACACACACACACACACACAACACAACACACTATCTTCTTATTTTTATTTACCAAATATTTATTCGATTTTCGTCCTTATAGCCATGAACCTGCTACGTTCTGCTGGTCGACCTCAGCTCCTCCTTCAAGTAGTATCCGGACCACTTGTGGGTGGTTCATGTCCGAAGCCAGAATCAGGGGGGTGATTCCTGTAAGATGAAGAAGGAAAACGTAAATAAAGAAGTATTAATGATAATGTTGATGATGAGTGACCATGATGGTATAAGTTACTTATAGCGACGCGCGTAGATTGGGGGAAATGGACAACGCCATCTTATAGAGCGGAAGAAATAGATGGGGTTAGAATAGAGTTTAATATGCATTGGCATTATATTTACCGAAAAATGGGAAAAAACAGGAGACGAAGTCCTCAAAACCTTTCTGCAGCCAGAGTTGTTGTTTATGTCCACATTTTCTATAGACTCGTTTTCTAAATGTGCCTCATTTTCTGTTATTCCATTTTCTATAGTTGCGTTTTCTATGAATGTTACGTTTTCTGACCGCCACTTTCAACCAGTGTGGAATCATTTCCGATTACTAATATTTTAATATATTATCTATTCATATTTCTACTAACATTTCCTCTATTATTTTAATGCTTTAAAGCGTTAAGCATAGAGTTCCATGGTGGACACCAGATTGCCGCAGGGTACTGTGTGAACGCAATAGGGCCTACAGGCTTTTCAAAAATAACATCACAAACGAGAACTTTTGCAAATACAAACTAGCAAGAGCTAGGGCTCGTAGAACAATCAGACAAGCCAAAAGAGACTCCTGGCGAAGCTTTGTCTCTACCATCAATAGTAACACCAAAATATCACAGGTTTGGTCCACTATCAATAAAATCAATAGAAAAAAAACATCTTTCAAAATTAAAAACATCTTTCATGAGGGCAATTTAGATTCACCTAGAGACATCGCTATTGCACTCGCCAGGCAGTTCTCTTATGCAAGCAGCTCAGACAACTACCATCCCGCATTCCTGACCATCAAGGAAGCGGCTGAGCTGCAACCCATACACTTTGCCACAGGAGATAACTTTGATTATAATAAAGATCTTAACAATGAATGAGCTTGTCCGAGCCCTAGAAGCCTGTAGAGGAACGTCCCCAGGCCCCGATGAGATTCGGTATGAGATGATAAAGCATCTTAATCATGATGCCATGATTAAGTTGCTAGAAGTGTACAATGAAATTTGGAAAAGCCAGACTTTTCCAAACTCATGGCACTTCGCCCACATCATTCCCATATTGAAAGGAGGGGGTAATCCCAAACATGCCATCTCCTACCGCCCAATTGCGTTGACAAGTTGCTTATGCAAGGTCATGGAACGAATTGTTAACAGTAGGCTATTGCATTTTTTAAATTCCAGGAATTTACTAGTTGACGAGCAGTGCGGTTTCCGAAAAGGACGCCAAACTCTCGATCAGCTAGTAAAACTGGCTAGTCATATTCAAGAGGCAATTGCCAAAAAGCATTTTTTGATTTCAGTATTTTTAGACATTGAAAAAGCCTACGACATGACATGGCGATATGGCCTACTCAGAAAACTTTATGCTTTCGGATTACGTGGAAACTTGCCTTGTTTTATTCAAAATTTCATTTCTGACAGAACTTTTGCTGTCAAATTGTTTTCTGACAATGTCACTTACTCGGACATTTTTGTCCAGGCAAACGGGGTCCCACAAGGAAGTGTCTTGTCACCTACATTATTTTTGTGTATGATAAATGACATCTTACCAGCTCCCCCTCGGAATCTTAAATACTCACTGTACGCTGATGATTGTGCATTATGGCATTCCAGCAGTAATGCAGAATTCTCAGCAAATCGCATCCAATTGGCACTGGATATGATTCATAACTGGGGCCTCCAGTGGGGTTTTAAGTTTTCCACAAGAAAGAGTATTGGGGTAATTTTTTCACGAAGGAGAATGCCGAACATCAGGCTAACTCTAGACCACCACCCAATACCTATTCAAAATTCTGCTAGATTTCTTGGTCTACTTTTTGATCGTAGACTTAATTGGAAAGACCACATTGGTCAATTAAAGAATAAATGTCAAAAAGCACTAAATTTATTAAAGTGCATTTCTGGAAATAAATGGGGAGCTGATAGAAAGTCTTTGCTAATGGTATATAAAGCCCTGATTAGGTCTAAAGTAGATTATGGGTCAATCGTGTATGGTTCGGCATCGGCCTCAACTTTGAAAGGTTTGGATGTTGTGCAGAATGCATGTGTGCGTAGTTGTCTTGGGGCCCTCAAATGCACAAGGATTGAGCGTCTAGAGGTGGAGTCAGGAGTACCTCCCCTCCGACTCAGACGCGGCCAGCTGGCGCTGACCTATGCCGCGAAGGTGGCTCGAGACCCCAAGCCACCCCAACGGTAATGGAGCCATTAGGCCCTTTACTACAAGACTCCACGACCTCATCCTTAAAGTCGGTATAGATCTCTCTACCATCGATACCCTGGTTCACACAAATATAGCGCCATGGGAAACACCCAATTTTTCCATCATGGAAGCTTGGCTTCCATCAACCAAGGCCATGGCGCCGGAGGTGGAGGTACGCCAGAGGTTCAGAGAGATCCTTATTAAACATCTACCTTTTTTTCATATATATACTGACGGCTCCAAGACCGAGCAAGTAGTGGGTGCAGGTGTATGGTCGAATGAATGTGAGTTGAGATTCAGACTGCCGAATCATACATCGATCTTTATTGCCGAACTTTTTGCAATTGATAAAGCTATTGATTTTGCACTATCGACGACCCACGATAGAATAGTCATTTTTTCTGACTCCTTAAGTTCACTTAAAGCCATTAAATCCTTAGAAACCACTCAAAATGAACTGCTGGGTAATATCATTCGTAAGCTACATAGTGCCAACAAATCAATCAAGCTGATATGGGTGCCAGGCCACTCTGGTATCCATGGCATGAACAGGCTGACCGACTAGCCGGGTCAACTGACGATCTGGACCTTAGCATAGTCCGGACAGATCTCAGGTGTTTTGTGTCTCTTATAAAAGCAAAAATCCATCTCCTGTGGCAAAGTGAGTGGACCAACCTGAACATACACAACAAAATCAAACACTCAATAGTAACATGGGACACAGCCCATAGAAAAGCAAGAAGAGAGGAGGTGGTTTTGGCCCGCCTCAGGCTGAATTCGACAAGGCTAACACACCTCACCCCATATATTGAAAGGAATTTCCCGCCACAATGCCCCCAATGTAATACCACCAACTCAATAAATCACATCCTAACAGTTTGCCGGAAATACACAAATAAAAGGCAACCAATTAAAAATCACTTTCAAATGAAAAACACACAATTTACATTACCAAATATACTAGCAGATAACGAAAACATAATACGTAAAGTAATAGCTTTTCTAAGGGAGACAAAACTTTATGACCTTATTTAGATTGAAAGAATAAATAGGATCCATTGGCTTAATAACCTTGGCCACATGCCGCTGGTTGATAGCCAAGAAATCCAACAAAAGTAAAAAAAAAAAGAAGGAAGATAACTTCGGTCCTGACCTCTGTCCCGCACTTTGGTCCTTCGCGGTGGAAATTTTTACCTGTGTTGTGCTCTCGCTTGGATTTATTTACTTCACCCTTGGATTTACTTCAACCTCGGATTTACCTCGCATTACGTATCTCCTCAAGCTAAGTTGGTTGTGTGTAGGAGACGACTGGTCTCTTTTGGACTTTAGCGTGACATGCTGCATTATCATCTGCAGGGTGCACTCCTTCGTGAAGTCCCATGACATTTTTGCGTATTTCCCAGTGTTTGAGAGCATTAGGACCAAGTGATTTAAAGGAACACTGCTTGAGGATCCGTACCTCCAGTGTATTCAATTTTATAACTAAGTTATTACTTAGTTTCCTTTCATTGCTGCCCGAGGATCCGTACCTCCTGGAATAAAGATCTTTTTAAGTACATTTACGTACTTTATCGTCGACTTGTTTTGTTTCGCTTAATGCGTGTTTGTTGATTTCTGCTTGATCTTGTGGGTGATCAAGCAGCCCTTTGTGATTGTCCCTCCAGTGTGACTTTCCCTTTTTAATACTTAAGTTGATACTTCGTTGTATTTCGTTCGTACTTGAGGAGTCATACCTCCTGTACATATTTTTTTTTTTATTTAAAGTTAATGTTAATGTTTCCTTTCGTCCCTGCTTGAGGATCCGTACCTCCGGGGATAAAGATCGTTATCAGGATCTTTTTACATATTTTGTTTGATATATGTTCCTGTTGATTTCTGCCTGACCTTGTGGGTGATCAGGCAGACTTTGGTGATCTGTATCTCCTGATAAAGAGCCCTTATCACATGATACGTGATTTTTGTTGTTGTTGTCGTTTTTTGCTTCGGCAGATTCCTGTCTGACCTTGTGGGTGTTCAGGCTGTCTTCGTGAATAGTCCCTTCCTTGACTTTTTCAGCCTTCTTATTAATTTATTTCTTAATTCTTTTGCATACAAGTACTCTTACTAGGTATCCGTCAGCATTAGCTTTGGTTTAACAGTTAACATCCATTTGGGTTGGATGTTAACATTTTAACGTAATTTAGGGACTTGGATGTTTTTATGCTGACCCCCTAGTAACAGTACTTCTGGAGTTGGGACGCCAACTTAGGGAAGACATTTTTATATTTTGTGGTAAGTTTTATCTGGTGTTAATTTCTCGTGCATCACCGCCGCTGTGATAA